GGTGGGGAGGTTGGGCACTTATGCTTTTCAATGGTAACCAAAATGAGGAGACAAGGTCAGAAACGCACGAAACGAACAAAAACCAAGGATATTTGACATTAATGAAATGTGTGAAAGAACCAGGGTGCTTGATTTGTCGACGAGGATACTCCTGCCATGTGAGACATTGATGCGTTGTCTCTTTTCAAAAATTGCTTGCCTCGTTTGAATTAGCCACCACTTGATATCACTGGTTGAATGAGGGCAATGGGTCACCCTTTCACGACTCACAAGAGAATTATACCCTGTTCTTTGGATATTCAAACAGAATTCTGCCCTGCAATCAATCCTGGCATTTATTCTATTGATCTCGAAATAAATATGGACCAGTTGTATGATTGACTTCATGACCCCTCTCTCGACCAGGTTTTGTGTGGATGGAATGAACGGAGACTGCAGTCGATTTACTATACGATACGCATTTAGCCTAAGGACGAGATGAAGTCACGACCAAACTTCAAAGTAACTTTCCGTACTTGCTCAAGGATACCTAGAGAATGGGATGACGACGTCGAGCTATCTCCTGTTAGAGGAATGTTGAAATGTGATGAATTCCAGGAAACGTGCATTGCATAATTACCTTGGTACCGAGAACGGTGGTATTCAAGTACCTTTTTTAAATTTTTACAAATGAAATATAAGGAAACCAAGCCACATTCAGTAAAAATGAAGCTATTAGCAGGATTGCAATCCTTATCACGGAAGGGAAAGGAATCCACTTCCCGTTCAATTTCTCTCCAACTCTCCAACTTCCCGAAGAGATTATGCAGATTCAGGGTTATGAAGCCATTAACCCTCATCCATTCGACCAGAATTCAAGCTGAGAAAGAGTTGTGTATCACAATAATCAAACGGTACGGAGTCGATCTCCAATAATAGGTCCATGTCTCCTCTCCCCAGCCTTATCAAATGTTGGAAGCGATTATCAAGCATCAGAAATAAGAAGGTCACATTGTTGATAACAATTTCGGCAGTCTCTCTCTCTCATCTGAGAGGGGGAGGGGGGAGAACGAGCTCGGAGGAGAAAAGGAGAAATCGAGGAAATTCCGAAGAGCCATGGGGATAAAGTCAATTGTTGGTATTTTGGCATCAATATACCCTGAAACACATGGAAATCAATGGAATACGGAGCACATACGCGCACTTCACTTGTCTATCAATGTCTGAACGCCATGTGCTGAAGGGTTTTCATTTGATTAAATTGAAGATCTTTTACTCCAAAGAACCACTTCAACGCCAGATCATTCAGGGGTTCGAAACTCTAAATTCAAAGAGATTGAAAATCATGAATTCATCATGCATTCCGTAATTTCCATTATTCCTTTCTTCTTCGCACTCCGTACAGGTACAGTAGCTCGAGAGTAGCTCGAGAGCAGTACATCACTTTGCATTCAGAAGAAGCATGAGCACAGTACATCATACAGTATGATAAGCATGAAGATGCGCAAAGTGTCAAGGTAGCTTTCTCACATGAGTCACATCAATCAAATGTACCATCCGCCCGAAGGAGAAATGGGGTAGGAGTAGGAGGGCTTCGTTCTTGATGCGCTGGTTTCTGTGTGGTTGATTCAAAAATTGATTGGTATATAATTAATCAATTCCCCCAGCTTCCTCCTGCACGCTGTCGCCCTGTATCATCAATAGTTTCATTTACCTAGCCAATCGAAACCCTCCTGCCAGCTGCAGAAGTGCAAGCCTGCAAGCAATTCATTACTGCACATATGAGCATGGGTAAAACATGAAGCTATCACGGTCACATCAATTTCTGATGTACGTATTAGCTGTTGGTCTGCAGTATCGGGATTTCATCACACCAAGAGAGTCCATACAAGAATGGTTTGCAACGCCTTCATTACTTACAGATCCAGCATCAAGAGGCCTCAATTTGCGAACACCCGATGAGTCTTTCTCGTGTGGTCCTCTTTCGCGGTACCTACTTTGTATGACATGACAACATCCATTTTGTGGTGGAGGCGGTTAAGGCTAAAATATAAAGGCCTTTTCAATTGAACAAGGGCGGGGTGCAAATTTTCAATTTTCTTTGCGCGATTTTTGGGCCTGCCGCCCGCTTGGAATAATCCACTTTCATGCTGGTCTACTGTACAGTTTTCAAAAGCTTTATAAAATTCGACAGCAATTGGAGGATCAAACGTTTTCGACTGTGTGTGATGTGTATGGAGCTACAAGTTTAAACCGCCAGATCCCGGAAATTTTGGTTAATGTCCTCCTATGTTCCACTACTTTGTACGTCCCTGGCACAGCGATTCGAAATCACGGTAACACAAGCAAAATTCGGCATAAACAATTTCAAGGATGCTGCTTACCACGGTCCGAGGTTCGTTGCCGTGTGCATTTCACGCCGATGCAGGCTATTCTTCCCTAAAATGCTTCCTGGTCTTTGCTGAGAAAGAACACATTCGATCTTTCACCTAGCATTCCTAGGAGCCCTTGCTGTGTGATCTGTGTAGACCATATCAAGTAATGTTATATCCCGTGTAGGATTTGAGACTCCCAAACGGCTGAAGAAATTACAATTCCTGTAGCCAAGTTAGTTTCCAAGAAACTTCGCATTCCAACATGAGTGTCACCAAAGTACCCGAAAGGAATCCGTAGCCTTTGAAGAAGCTTTGAAGCCACGCACCAGTGCTAAATCTCACTTCAACCCCATTGCATGTTGTGTGGTACTGACCGAGTAGCAGGTGTTCTGGACTCCACTCTCTCACATTTCATATATCGCAAGCGAGTAGATTGATTAGATCCAACTAATCTGCAGAATGTACAAGCCCAGCTACTCCCTCATCGGCATGATTCCAAATGCAGTGAGTCAGTGACTGTGTGCTTTTCGCCGAAATTTTGTGTAATATTCAAGGGAAGCTTCAACAAACCAGAAGTCCAGAAAAACGCACGACGATAACATACACACAGTGAACTCTCACTTCAGCCGTCAGCCTATAATTTCATTGGAAAATGCCATCGTGTTGGAACACGGCCGAATGACCTGTGTTCCGTGTCAGCTATCATCAGTCTATGAGTCTCGCCAAATCAAAATACAACTTTGAGTCCTCAGCTGCTACGATTTTAATCACATTGTACCGCCTCAAGCGAGTATCCGAACACGCAAGAATGGGGCGGTGAACTGACACGAGTAGACGCCAATGTTGAGACACTACGAGAACCAATTCAGATATCTTATATGCAGTCGAGCAATAGTAGACGTAGACTAAGAAACAACGGGAACGATCAAGCGGGAGAACTTCATGCAAAAGATGCCGCTTGCATAGTGGGAAGTAATGATAACCGCCTCGTTTCTTCACGCAATATGCGAAGTGCTTCGAGCAGACCATGAACAATTGAGAGGGAGCGAAACTGAGAAGATAGGTTTAAGACAATTGGATGCGTTTTGTGATTTCTTTGAGTGATATCCATTCTCCAGAATGACTTTGACTTCAGGATGCATGATATTTTGAGAAATCAAGTCTGTTGATCGCAAGTTGAGCTTGAACTTGAGCATTATGGCAAGTGTCATGCTTTCCAACGACCCCGCACTAGGTACCTAGGTACTGTCAATGGAGGGCGTGGAGGGGTAGTCTTATCGACACGTGATCATCTCTTATCTAGTCTACGTCCATGATGATACAGTGCCGGTACCGAGAATATTTTTCCACTCGCACAAACGCAGCATTCCATCATCATACATCATCCAACATGCCAGTGAGTGAGCCCTTCCAATACCTTTTCGATGATGCTGACACTATATCCTCGATGTAGCTCATAATACTGACCGGCTACCCTACCTCCGGTAAAACCTACCGGGCTACTCAACTTCGCGAATACTTCCTCGCAAAAATATCTTCGCTTCCTCCCAGCAGTCCCTCTTCCTCCCTCCGTGTCCACCTCATCTCTGACCACACTCTTGCCATTTCCCGCGAAGTGTATAACCTTGAATCTAAATCTGCTAATGAGCGATCGAATAATGCGAGTGAGAAAGATGCTCGAGCTACAATATATGGTGCGGTGAAGAGGGTGTTAAGTAATAAAGATGTGGTAATACTGGATGGAGGAAATTATATCAAAGGGTGGAGATATCAACTATTCTGCGAAGCAAAAGCTATGAGGACTGGATGTTGTGTTGTGCATGTTGGAGTTCCTGCTGATAAAGCTAAGGAGGTTAATGAAGCACGATTGGAACGAAGAAATCTTCCACCTTCGGAACAATCTGCGGAGGGAGCGGAGATCAAGGAGGAGGATAAAGCATATGAAAAGGATAATTGGGGAAATCTAGTATTCAGATACGAGGAACCAAATGCGATGGTACGCTGGGACTCTCCGTTATTCACAGTCGTATGGGAAGATGAAAACGTACCAGGAGACGCCATTTGGGATGCTATAATCGGAGATGATTCAGAAGGAAAGAGGAAGGTTGTCAGGCCAAACGCAGCGACAGTAGCAAAGGTTCACAGTAGTGAGGGGTTCCTATACGAATTAGATAAGACGACCCAAACGGTTCTCAATCGGATTTTGGAATGGAGTAAAGACCACCCTGGTGAAGGGGGAGGAGAAATCAGTGTTGGTGAGAATTCGAAAGGGGAGGAGGTGGTGGTGGAGTTACCTGGAGATCCCGTGGGACTGCCGGCGTTACAGCGTCTGAGGAGACAGTTCATAAGTTTGCAGAGGACGAATCCGGTGACAGTGGAGAGGATTAAGGAGACCTTTGTGAGATATCTGAATGATAGTTTCGAAGCTTAGGGAATGGGCATTACTTTGGCGTTTGGCAGGCTGGAAACGGATACCCTAGAAATTAAATTAACTCGCAAAAGTTGTCATATATGCGAATATATCTTCGAAAAATCGTCCGATTATTTACACCTAATACTTTCAAAAGAAGTTTGCAGACATGATATTAGGGGCTTGGATAGTAATGTGAGACAAAGTAGTTGGGTGCGTCTCTATTGCCAAGAATCCTAAGAATTTATTTTAATCCATGCTGCCGCCTTCTCGCCCCATTCCTCTCCCTCCCCAGTACTTAAAGCCATCGGTGGACTAATGTGATTATGACCTTCAATCTTAATGACCTCAATTTTCTCCTCCCATACTTTCTCTGCTAGCTTCACAAAACCATCATTAGGTTTTAAAATCTCGTCCACAGGATCATACTCTGAATTCATAACCAACAATTTCGGAATACCCAATTCCTCTCTCGATTTCTTACTCTCTCCTACCGCTTTCAACAATCCATGAGGACATTTCGCAAGAACATCCCCATCACTTCCATAATATTTTTCTAGCATATCTTTACGACCAGCCAACGCCTCTTCAAAACTGAATGGTACTCCTACCTCTACCGCCCCTTTCAATGACACTTTGGCTTTCCCCTGCCATGACTTTCTCTCCTCGAGAAAGCGGGGCTCAAGGAGATATGTAGCGATGTGGAGTCCACCCGCTGAGTTCCCCATTAGATATACTTGTTTTTTATTCCCTTTGCCGTCTAATAGATCGGTTTTGGAAAGCCAATGGAGAACGGCCGATACATCTTCACCTCCACTGGGGTAGACGGCCCCTTCACCACCTGTCTCGCTGTCCACACGTCGATAATCGGGAATAATAGTTGTGATTCCTTGTTTTGAGAAAAAAGAGCCCAAGTTGTGATAAACGAGTTTATCAAGGATGGGGACCTCGAGAATTTTATCACCGCGAGTGAGTCCACCGCCGTAGAAGAAGATGAGAATAGGAGAAGTGCCAGAGGCGGTGCTGGAAGGATACAGATCGAGGGTTTGACGGGTGTGAGAACCGTATGTATGCGTACTGCGGGGAACAGAGAGGATGGAATTGCGGTTCTTTTGGAGATGGGGGGCCAGAATCTTGACGGTGGGAAAAAGAATTTCCATAATGGAGGTGCCGGTTGTGAGGGAGAGGTTCTTGAGTGCTTCCATGGTTGCGGTTGTGGTGTGATGACGGATGTAGGATATATTAATGAATAGTTGGTGCTGTGAAGAGAATTTTGTGTTTTTCAAGATACCAAACAACTTTAAAGCTTGACAAATAATGAGAAAGATGCGTGTGTATGACCAGATGGTTTGAAGTATTCTTTACACACCACTTATATCTTCCAGAGCGGAGTTCCGCTTCATCATTGCTAGGTAGACGAGCACAAGCTTTGCCGTCCACATACATAGCTTACCCAATAATACGTATGCATTTACGAGTCCATCCCACGTCCACTATCCACAGATGGAATCTCACAAAGCATCGCTCGATGCTGTTCGGCTTGAAGTAGCGAAAGTGGAATCGGTCAATCTCGGACAATTGGAATATCCCCTGAGAGGCTTGTACCCTTAGAAAATTGGGGATAATCCCCACGAATCTGAGACTGTGGGGGAGGAGCAGCGTCCACATGGAAATAGTGGACGGTGCGGACGCTCCCCTGGAATTTATAGTAGCTCTGCAAATGAAGCTTGTGGACGAGACAGTATATTTTCTTGCCCATTTCCCATCTTTTTTGTTCCAAATCATATCAATTCGTCAGAGACAAGCTTCACTTTCTTCACATCTTCACGTCTTCCCAAATTCCCACAAAGTTAATCATTACATACCCTTCAAAAATGGCCCCAGTCCCCCATCTCACCACTCCTCCCGGAAAAGCAACGCCCTACGTCCTTCCTTGTTTCACTGGTGAACTATGGACAATCCCAACCTCAAATTCCACCATGAGATTACTCGTTACTGGAAATGAAACGAATAATGCTTTTGCGGTAGTGGGAACAGGCGGAACTAAGGATAAGCCAATTGGATTCCATTATCATAAGGAGGCTCATGATGTATTTTTGTGCTTGAAGGGTACGCTGAATGTATGGGCAAATAATGAGGCGAGGAGTATGGGTCCAGGTGATTTTGCCAGCGTGCCACCGGTAAGTAGATATTGTGATTGAAGCTCGAGTTTCCCGTCTCTGTGGTGGGGTTTCGGGATATAGTGAGCTTGTAGAGATATAGCTTTGTTACATTTATCTTCTAAGGCTCAACTTACTATGGACACTCAAACAAGTGCTAGAGTTTAAGCTGAGATGAAACATCTTTGAGATGGGACATAATATTTATATGTTACAAATGCTGATTTCTTCTCCTCTTTAGGGAACTATCCATCAATATCAAGTTGCTTCTTTCCACACCGAGTTCCTGGGCCTAATTATTCCAGGTGGTTGGGAAGAATTCTTCCGCTTCATTGGCGAACCATATTCTGGTCCCCTATTCCCCACAAACGACAACCGCAATCCTTTCAAAGTTTTGATTCCAAAACTTATGGCGGCAACTGAGAAATTCGATATGATTCCAGTGCGTGAGAAGAAGAGTTTTGATCCACAGCCATGGAATGGTACCGAAAATAAGCTACCCGGAAAATGCGAGAACGGAGGATACTTCCTCAAGGAGGGAGAAGGAGAAAAGACGGTCATCGGTGGCACAGTAGTGAGACCTATGTGCAGAAGAGAGGAAACAAACAACAGATTCTCCATCTATGACATTTTAGGAAGTTCTATACATGCATCCAAAGCATTCAACAAGGAAGTTCAATTTAAAGACACACACCATGCTATATACACAGTAGATGGCGCGCTCAAGTTGACAATTGGCGGAGAGGAAGTCATAGCACCAGCGGGAGAAACCACATTTGTACCCGCGGGAACAAAGTTCAAGGTTGGCTTTGAAACCGTGTATGCGAGAGCGTATGTTTTTGCTAATGGGGGTGGTATTGGAGAGTTATTGAATGTGTTAGGAAGTGTATATGAGAGTGTGGCAGTACCGAATGATGTGGAGGGAAGTTGGGATGAAGGAAATTTGAAAGAATTGGAAGCAAAAATAGGAGATTTGAGCTTTTAAAGTTTGTTTTATAATATGGTAGAGATACGGGATTATGGAAAAAAGGCGTATATTGTGTACAAACAATAGAGGTAGGTGATATGTATGGATCGTTGATATATATTTGCAATGAGGTGAAAAGTGCGCAGGCAAATGTCACCAACAGCTGGCTCTTGATAAGCTGGGTGGAAAAGACTGTCTCAGGTGAGCCATTATTTAAGTTCCTGTCAATGGAGAAGGATCACATAGAACTTGGATTGCTCTATAGAAATAAATTTTTGTTTTATTGAAACCTACTGTCATGATGCTTCCCTTTCGTAAGACCGTATAGTAAAAACTAGTCCAGATAAAGACTAGTGTCACAGTTGTATTGTGCATTCAATCTGGAGCATTTCATCGTTGGGAATGCGTCGAAACTTTTCCACAAAACCGAAAATTGTATTTTTTACTTAAGAATAACCAGGGCGTCTCTTTGAATCTCAGTATTAACAGTCACTATCTCAAAATCATGTCTGACTCAAAACGTCCCTTGCTCAAAGGCCCACCACGTCCACCCCGATCAAATCCATTGGCGTTATCCTATACCGAACCTCCTAGACTCAGGAACGAGGTAACACGTACAAAGAGTGATAGCGTTAGAGGTAGTTTCTCCCAACTCTCTACTATGATCTTATACTCATGACTTACTTGTGTTTCACAGTTGTGGAATTCAACGGATCCGCAATTCCTCAGCCATTTCTTGATCCATCCATTATGCAGAAAAAAGCGCAGTTGGAACGAGAGCGGAAGTTAGAGCAGGAGAAAAGCACACGACAGCAGCTCGAAAGAAATCAGACTGAGGGCTCTTCTAGATCCTAATTGAAGGAGATGTGTTCAATGGCGTGCATTGGTATCACGTGAAGTTTATTTCGATATGTGTTTGTTTTGGGATAATTTTTTAAGTACTACAATTCTCGATGACGGATTGATATCGGATGCTCGACTACATGTCGTGTGCAAAGCTGTACTTCACAAAATTACACGACGTTCTACATGCGTAGACCATCATGTGAATAGCAACTGTAGGTATGAGTTACAGTGCCTTTTTCAAGGTCCGAAGTCGGTCGAAGGATCGGATGATGAAGTTCGCGATTCTTGAAGATATTCGGATACTTACATGTTTGATAGATCTTATCTCTTGTCCCTTATGACCTGAAGATCTAGCCATGAGTTCGCTCTACTTTAGGTCGATTCCTTGATTTTATGTCAGAGATGTAATACTATTCGGCGACGTGAGAGCCCTTGTCACGGTTAATGACATACTTTGGATCTGGTGTGCATGAAGATGGATCATCAGAGCCGCCTCTTACTGCACCCCGCTTTTTTGATATCTCATGGACTGATTGACCCTGAAAGCTTAAATTCTTCATCATTGTGGCTGGCTGCCACAATTCAAGGGAATTTATCCACGAACTCTGAAGCATGGCACATTACAAGCCTCGGCAAGAAGTTTCTGGAACTCGATATTAATGTTTTGGTTGGGCATCTTCAAATTCGGGCGTAATCGGCGTTGGCTGCTTATAAGCACTAATTAACTCGCGTCGACGGGAAGACCAATAAGTGTACGATGCGCAAACCGATGTGTATCACCAGGTTATTCTCCGACGTGGTCATATCTTTAAGAAATTGTCAAATGGATCAAATAGGCCCGAGTCGTTCAGGTAAGGACTTCACACAATTTTCTTCAAAACTGTCCTCGTGGAACTACCTGCCTCTTGATTACGATACCTTTTATGTCGATTCACATACCACGACCTATTAAAAAGAGCTAATGAGTCGTATATTTATATTACACGTGAGTAAAGATAGCTAAAATCATGGTTTTGTATGGAACAACACAGAGCAAGGTCTTCTCATCTTTATTGACAACCAGGAAACGCAAACGTTCCGAATATCTGCAATCTTCGTTCGACAGATATAATAGCTGCAGCATGTTGTGTCAACACAGGTGATGTGCCGACATCATTCGGGACAAACATCCAAGGCTGCTTTTAGGATTCCTCATTTGCCTATTTGGCCCAGCATTCAAGAAGTGCTCTTCTTATCGGTGTTATTTCAGTTATTCTGAGATCTTCGAGCTTTAGAACCAAATCAAAATCATCTCCTATTGAATATTAGGTTCAATGTATCATTTTGATGCCTTTTGGCGAGATTTTAAAAGTCAAGATTTAGCCTAACCTAGGTACTTTCAAGAACGTCAAAATTTGTCTCTAAATTTCGCAGTTTCTTTGAGCTTTTCAACGACTAAAAGCGGCAGTCCCATAAATTCACCCCTACTTTGTATCTTACACTAATAATATTTGTCTGGATTTCACTTCCACTACAACCTTGCAGACAAAGTCAACGTTGAAATTCCACATAGATGTCTCTCTCTACTGGCTGTGGGGCCCGAAAAATACTACCTAGCTTTGGCCTGTCAAAAATGCATTTTCCGAAAAGCTGGCTTTGTGCGATCACCCGATACATGTCATGCAGCTTGGCTAATAAAGATTTCTATCCATTGCCATGTTTACATACACTATCCCCAATGGATTTTTTATGAAGACGGACAAGTCTGTTTACAGCCACAGTTCTTGTCCTGCCTTTTCATTTACAAGTTTTCTTTCAGTGTCTTCTGAAATACATATACATTGACTTTCCCACTACATCAGGATACGTTCTAGGAATTTTCTAGAAAACGTCTAGAAGCTCAGCCAAAATGGTATCGTCTTTTAGAACTCTCATCATTGTAGCATGTCTGCTAATGACTGAAGCTACACCCTTGTGAGAACTACCTCACATCAAGCTTGATATCGGTGTTCACTAACACGTATATAGACTTAAGAAGAAGGGGCTGAGCTTCGATTACAATGGCAGTAAGGTTCGCGGCGTCAACCTAGGAGGATGGTTCGTGCTGGAGCCCTGGATTACTCCGTCGTTGTTCTATGGATCTTGGGTAGATGAGTACGTTTCTCACAACATAATCACCAGTATAGATTGACTGACACCGCACCCATGCTAGGTACACTCTGACTCAAACACTTGGGAAATCTGCTTCACAAAATCTATTAAACGCACATTGGGCAACTTGGATTACGCAGAATGATTTCAATGAGATTGCAAGTGTAGGCTTGAATCATGTCCGTATCCCAATTGGATATTGGGCTTTGAATCCATTGCCTGGGGATCCTTATGTCCAGGGACAGTTGATTTACTTGGACAAAGCTATTGGCTGGGCGAGACAGGCAGGGTTGAAAGTGATTCTAGATGTTCACGGGGGTGAGGCATATTGCATATTTGAATGAAGATCTTCGCTAACTTTTGCGCAGCGCCAGGAAGTCAAAATGGGTTCGTTGATTGATATAACATGAATATTGGTGGGAAGAAAAAGCTAATGAGATTTACAGGTTCGATAACTCGGGACGGAAAGGACCTGTCACTTGGACTCAAGGAGATTCTACCAAGCAAACATTGGCTGCCATCCAAACGCTGGCCTACCGCTATGCTCCAGCCACAGACGTTGTGACTGGGATCGAGCTTCTCAATGAACCAGCGAACTGGGCTCTTGACATGGGAGCAGTTAAGCAGTTTTACTATGATGGTTGGGGAAATGTGAGAAACGCGAATCCTGATACCGCGGTTGTCATTCATGACGCTTTTCTTTCTCCGCCTTCATGGAATGGTTTCATGAACTACCAATCTGGAGTCAATGATATTATTCTCGATACCCATATCTATCAAATCTTTTCCTTTGCAGAGGTCGCCATGAAGCCTTGTCAACATATTCAGGTTGCTTGTAGTCAAGTCGGAAACTTGGCGAATACAGACAAGTGGACAATTGTTGGCGAATTCAGTGGAGCACAAACAGACTGTGCAAAATGGTTGAATGGCTTTGGTGTCGGTTCTCGATACGATGGATCATATCCCGGAAGTCCTGCATGGTATGGATCTTGCCAGTCGAAAGATGTTGGGACAGTTGACGGGCTACTTGAAGTCGACAAAGTGAATCTGGCATATTTCATGGAAGCACAACTTGATGCATATGAAGCTCACTCAGGCTGGGTTTTCTGGACATGGAAGACCGAATCTGCTCCCGAGTGGCACTTCCAAAACCTGACAAGAGCGGGATTGATCCCACAGCCTTTGACGAGTAGAAAATATGGGAAGCAATGCGCAACTTCAGCCTGTTTGATTCCAGGCAATTGAAGATTTTCTACACTGCTTCACAAGAAAACATGAAATTTCTTTTGGGGGTGGTTCAAGAGAGCGGATACGGGGCCCAATGACGTTCATACATGCAATTATTTGGAGGATGGTATTTTGGCGAAATTTACGATGCAATAACGATACCCCTTCATTCGCTCGGGGAGTTACGGGCAAGATAGATTCTAGTTATCGGGGAGAAGCGAAGATCTAGTGCAAGAGGTGCCAAGAGAGGGGTAATTTATTGGTGTAACACCTGATGATAGCCCTGAGCGTCCTTTTCCTGGTTGTTGAGAATAGCACGTGAGGCACGAGATAGATGAGAGAAATAATCAATAGAAAAATGATAAGATGGATTGCTTCATATGGTGCGAGTGCTTTCTTTCCAACAAGCTCAGTTCCGTATGCATAATTGAATCGTCAATGATGTCGATAAAGTACCGGAAAAGTTTCCGGAAAGTGGATGGATGAGGATTCCTTAGGAGCCGGCAAGGTCACAATCCTCTGCCAAAGACTCGGTCTTAGCGTTTCTCTATTTCCCTTATGTCCTTCTGTCCTTCTGTCCATTGTCCTTATTTCCTCATTATTGTCATGGATTGTACCCACCTACCTAGTTCCATATGGTGTTTGCTTCGATACTTCTAGTCTCTCATTGGCTTCGACATTTCTTACCAACATTGCCGTAAGCATTTCCCGGGTGTCTCCAAGCCACTTCTCCATTCCGTGGGTTGACTAAATTTGCAGCTTCCCCATACTTTTGAGCGGGGTTGGTTACAAGTTACAACATTCGAAGGTTCCGACCATTAGACTGTAACCCAACAATCAATTCGCCCCCACTTCCCCACTATTATCCAATTGTTCCGCTGTTCCTTGCTTGCCCAGCTGCCTACACTCCTACAATCATAGAATCAACAACTTGGAAGCAAGACCCCACAATCTACAGACTTGATCCCAGAGCTACTAAAAGTAGGAGCTGTTTCTTAAAGTGGCTTAGGTAATACAAGATTTTCATCCATCAAACCTTATACTGAAGACTACAAAAACACAATATATTTCCTTTATTTACTATCTTGGTTCTATCATACCATACACTTCTTGCGATATACAAGTTCCATTATTATATTCACAAAAATATGTCTCCTTCCGCCACTGAAGCCACTGGCACCACAGCCAAGACATCATCCAAAATTAACGATGCAGTTTCATCCTCAACTTCAATTCACACAATACCCCTCATTATCAACAACGAACCTCACCAATCTAGCAGAACTTTTCCCGTCTATTCACCATCAGATAATTCACATCTTCACGATTGTGTATCTGCATCTGCATCTGATATTGAACTCGCTTTGGATACAGCTCAAAAGGCCTACCCAGCATGGAGCAGATTACCGCCACCGCAAAAACGCGATATCTTTCTTCGAGCAGCCGAGATAATGCTCGAACAAAAGTCTACTCTTGAAGAAACCATGATTAAAGAAACCGGCTCGGACCCCATTTGGGCCGGATTTAATACTCATCTTGCTCGAGAAGGTCTTCTCGACGTTGCCGGCCGTATAAGTTCCATCGCCGGTAGTATCCCGATGACGTCAGAGGAAGGTCGAAGTGCACTTGTCTATAAAGAACCTTATGGAGTTATCCTCGGGGCTGCACCCTGGAATGCCCCCTATATTCTCGGTTTCCGAAGCATCACCTATGCACTCGCAGCTGGCAATTGTGCAATTCTCAAAGCACCAGAGTTTTCACCAATGTGCAGTTGGCATATTTGTGACATCTTACACAAAGCTGGGTTACCCAAAGGTGTATTAACATACATAGCAGTTTCAAGTGAGGATGCTCCGGCGAGAACGGCACAAATAATTGAGAGCCCGATCATTAAGAAGATTAACTTTACGGGTAGTACCCGGGTAGGAAAGGTCTATGGAGAATTGGCGGGAAAGAATCTTAAACCTGTGGTACTGGAGTTGGGTGGAAAAGCTAGTGTGATTGTGTGGGAAGATGCGGATTTGAAATTAGCAGCTGTGGAGTGTGCAAAAGGGGCTTTCTTACACTCGGGTCAAATCTGTATGAGTACAGAAAGAATTCTTGTCCACAAGAATGTTGCAGCAGAATTGTAAGTTTTCCATTCTTCATTTCCTTTTTTATTTGCCTCGTCATTCTTGTCCTGCTCAACAAGCAGAAGATAACGAAAGTGCGAAATAAAACTAACAAACCATGTAGCGAAAAGGAGTTAGCAGCCGCTGCTGCAGAGATGTTTTCTTCATCAACAACCCTCATCAACTCTCAAGGCGTCTCTAAAAACGCATCTTTAATCTCCGATTCCCTCTCCAAAGGCGGCTCTATTCTCCACGGCACGCCGCCCGCTGATTTCTCCCCCACCAACAAAATGTTCCCCGTAATCCTCAAATCCGTCAACCCCTCCATGTCCATCTACCGCGAAGAATCTTTCGGGCCAACCGTCTCCGTGATCGAAATCTCCACCGAAGAAGAAGCGATCCGTATCTCCAACGATACCGACTACGGACTCGCAGCAGGTATCTATACTCGGGATTTACAGCGGGGATTGCGCATTGCGAAAGCAGTAGAAAGTGGTGCCGTGCATATTAATGGGCATAATGGGAGTATACATGACGAGGCGGGACTTCCGCATGGAGGCATGAAGAACAGTGGGTTTGGACGATTTGGATCGCTTGGCTTGGAGGAATGGGTCAGGACAAAGACGGTGACGTTTATGGATTAAGGATTAAGGATGGGACATATGATAATGGATGTAGAACTTGAATAAGTGAGACACGGATTTTATGTAAGCCAAGATGAATAAACTTAACTACATTAACCCCAGCGATCGCCTAAGATAGTCGTTCTTTTAGTGTACTTTCTGAGTTGGAATTAAATGATATACTTCTGAATATTATTTTTGTTTAAATTGAAATGAGATTTATACTTATTTATTATAGATACTCGAGTAGGATAATATTCATTCAAGAAGTATTTGAATACAGAAAAGAGGCTAAATACGTATTGAAGAGGGTGAAAAGCTTCATTGTATTTCCTATGAAAGATTGAAGCTATTTAAGGTGCTAGAAAGCTAAAAACCACGCTAGAGGGGGCTGTAGTATTCACTCTGTTATCTAGTCCATCCCAAAAAAGACTATACGCCCCTGTATAGAAAATCAAATTATCCCCTGAAATTTAAGGCCAATTGCCTCGAAAATGGAACTAGCTTTCAAGCTAAGAACCGTAATACACCATCCACTCTTCAATCTCCTAGCATATGAGGCCTGAATTGTCTTTCCTACTGTATTGTTGTATTGTATGCGATATCCCTGTCGAAACTGAACTATGTGTGACGTACTAATCGAAGAACTTGAAGGCTAGGTAGAAAAGGTGATTCGAATAAAGGAAACATTAAAATGACCTGGATATTCTATACTACGATAGGGTCCCCAGCTGACATTGAGTCACTACACAGTGCTCTAGAGCCTCTAAATAGCTCTAATAATGTCCTCAAAAACGTAAACTTAAAATGGTATCATAGAGAGTGATTGTAGGTCGACTTGTAGTATAAATTGAAAGGTCGAATATCGTATTGTTGAAAGGAGGAAGGAGGATTCAAAAAAGATTCGAAAGGTGATTCGAATAAGGTCTTCAAAAAGGTGATTTCGAAAGAGGTTCGAGAGATTTCGAAAAGTGATGCTATTCGGAGATTGAAATGGAGAAATCGAAATAGAGAAATCGAAAGGAAGAGGGATTTCGAAAGGTATTGCAGCCTACAAACCATCAATAAAGACGTCGCAGAAAACTGTAATATATCGTATTAAAAAGAATGAAGCAATTCGTAGTATTAAAAAGGTGTTTTTCATAGCTAATGCCTTATAACTTGAAAGGAATCAAGAGGAGGTTGGAAACCATATCCATTTTGTCCCTGCGTAGGTCACCAGAAAAGACGTGTAGAATAGGTAGATTTATTGGTATTAAGTGTAGTGCGTATTCTCTTGAAAGCTATGTACGATCCAGTTGAGTATATCAACCAAAGTGATTACCTAATACGCCTAATGCGTTTAGCCCGCTTTCTAATACAAATCATTACTGTGAGGATTCATAATAAGTCCACTAATCACTTATTAATATCTTACTAATTAAGAGATATCTTAATGACTAATATGCATATATATGATCTTATATTATAAAATCATATTATCATATAGTTATATAATAGTATCTCTTATCAAATTGATTTATAATGGAATAGAATGAAATGGAATTAAATAGAAGTATATGGGAAATATCGCTAAATCGATTGGTTGTACTTTCTTTTTATTATATAAAATTATTCTATAAGATTCGATTCAAATCAATCTTATTTATAAGCATAGAAAATACTAGAATTTCATTATAAACTATATAAACCTAGGATATTCTTTAAAGAAAACCTAGGAAAAAGCAAGCAATTTCATCTCAACTCAGCCTAGCTCTTCTAAATTGACTTCAATTCAACTCTTATTATATATATTCGATTTATCCCTTAAGCTTAAATTGACTAGATCTTCCACTATCATTATAATAATAATATTCCTTATTATTATAAAAGCTAACCTCCAAGATTAATGAATAAAGAGCGAAATGTGTAAGGTCAATGTATCACCTATAGTAGAGTAGTAAAGATCAATAAGAATCTCAACCTTGAAGCTTTAAATAATTAGGCTATGACTGGGGGATATAATATAATAATGAAAGATCTATATAAATAAATCGAATCTATTATTTATTATCTAAATAAATACACAAAAAAGCTTTGTATTGTATACAACAGTATTGCAGTGAGTGTTTAAGGAAAAGATCAATATAATATATATACAAGAGCCCTAAGTATCCAATATATATACTCAAACATATAACAGATACCAATACTTGTCCCCAATAACCTCCTGGAGGGTAAGCGGGATATGCGAGGAAGGGTAGGGACGCCTATGAGTAATGATATATATCAGAACTGAGACTAGATTACAAATATTATAATTAGTAGGAGAGGAGTATAGAGACTATATATGGCTTTCTATAAACAGAATTAAACTATTAAACCTATATAGGGAATTGAATATCTCAGAAGTCCTAAAAATAATTCTTGATCTAATATCAATTGGGGATATAATCATTAGGGGAGACTTTAATATTTATTATATACTATTCGAGCTAGATATAAATACAGTATATAGTAGTAATCAACTTACAAAATGGTTTAGCAATAAAGGTCTCAAGTTTACAAACATTCCGGATCAAGCAATATATAGAGCAGGATATGTGATCGATTTAGTCTTTTCCAATATCCCAGGAATATATATAGAAATAAGGGCTGATATA